AATAAGAGCATCTGTACTTAAGGTATCATATGGCAATTTTTGGCATTGCTAGTGGTTCATCTTGTGCAGGTTCCGGTCTTCAACTCTGACAAAATCGGGTCATTTATGCATGAAATTTATACTTCCAGAGTTGATTACTGCTAAGGGAAGCTTCTGTGTAACCAGACCAGTTCTGGACTTAACATTAAATACTAAGTTTAATTTTCAAGTTGAAATTGAGGAGGAATGGGGCTATGTGTTACTCCTTTGAGTCCTTTTAATTTATGATGATTTGATGAGCTTCCAAAGCAGAGCATGCTCTTGCTTCACAAGAAACATTTGTATTTTTATGTCTGTGATCTCTTGAGATAGAGGATATTAAGCTTCTGGTATATGGATTTCTTCTTCATTCTGCTTTGCTCATGTCACATAAAATCTCTAGAAGCGAAATACTTCCATGGTTCCAGGAAGTGCTGCTTCTGCCCAATACCACACTTCAGCTTCACACTTTTGGGATATTTTCTTCTTCCTGGCTCCCATTATGTTCTTGTTCTTTGAGAAGGTGTAGGATCTCATTAACTTTATGATAAGCCTTTGCTACCTGGTAATATCTGTCTCGTGCTCTAGTGTAGGAGAGCTGCTGATGTTGTCTTCTGATAGCTGTAATCTTCTCTGCAGGGATAAGTGTTCTTCTTATCTGTGATCCAAGGGACAATTGCTGCTTCTCAAACATCTGCTGTAGCAGTGACCCCTCCCAAGTATAGTGAAAACAGCTGTCTAAAAAGCTGTGTGTAAGGAAAGGGTTTAAACGATTGCTCTGTCCTAACATCATCACATCTCAATTCTGCAACCTGTCTGTCTAAGGGCAGTCTTTGGTCTGAACCAGTAAGTCACCTCAGGATAAGGTTTATAGAAACAGTTTTTCTACAGTTCTGGTGGAGAAACTAGTGCGTGTGGGAGAGGAGGGGTGTGTGCTGGGCCTAGACTCATCTAAGACTGTTTCAGTATCAGTTTTATCTAACCGTTATCACTTCTTTTTAGTATGGGTACCTCAAGCTGTATGTGAAGTAGGATGTTGTGTAAGTTCTTTTTTGAGTAGGTATTTTTGAGCTTAGATTGCTGTTTCAGTCCTTCCGGTGAAATGGAGGATGGAACGTAACTACATAATCAGAATAACCCATAGTTCCTTTTAAAATGTGTGTTGTTCTTGCATCCTGTTTCCCCCTCCTTCCCTTTCCTGCTTCTGCAGTGGTCTTCTGTCATCTCGTTGTTGCATTCAGAGATGTGAGATTCCCAGTAGCTGCATTCTGTTGCTTGCTCAGCATTTCTCTCAAATTTTCAGTATGATAGTGGTTTTTATTTTGCATCATAGTTGAAATACCGTACCTGTTCCAGTGTTGGTGTTAAAGGTGTTCTGTAAGAGGTACTGAGCAGATGGAGAACATTTGATATTGGGGTGAAAGATTAATCCTGATTAATGATTTTTGCCCCTTCCATTCATGAGTAACTGAAATTAGCAAGTGCTGAAGGAATAGTTCTCTCTAGGGAGAAAACCGAAAGTATACTGGCTTCTGGTTTGTGTGGCTATGCAACGCAGGCAAATTTATCCTACTAGTCTACCGTCTCCCACCCCTGCCTGCCTGCTTGCAGGAGAATAGAGAGTAGTATAGGAATGTCATGGGTAAGTAAAGCCAGATAGGTACAAGTCAAATTGAAAAGAAACAGTTGTGTAGGAAAAGTAGAGTCCTGACTCCTGTATACTTCAAGTAATTTCTCAGTAGACTAATCAAAATTCCCTCAAAAGTCAAGCATCAAACTTGAATGAAATATATGCATGTGAATATGGAGGACTGGTTTCAACAGACTTTGAGCTTCTACAGAGCTGTTTAGGATATCTGCCAATAAATCTTGTGAAATGTAAGCAAATTATCAGAAATACAAAGATTTATTGATCAATGCTGGTAGAACTGTGTGCTTGGTTAAGAAAAGTAGCGTACAATTCTCGCTAAGTCTGATAAATGCTAAGGTTTTTTTTGATAGTAATTTAGGGCATCTGAATGCTGAGGACTCAGATGTCAAAACTGCATTAGTTGGATCACTGTCTGTTCCCAGAAATTGTGCACAATACCATTGCTTCATGTTGCTGAGTGATGTAGTGCCTCCTTACCACCAATGCAAAGCCCAGTCATACATATACATCACTGTACAGGAGAACTTAAATTTCCTAGCGGTTTCAGATCTTTAGAAGCAGTTTAGTATCCCTTAGGGCAGCTGTTATGAGCTGTTGTTGTTACCTGCTTGCCTCTTACATTACCAGAATTATATGAAAAGAAGTTCAAGAATGCCACTGTAAAGCAGTGCTTTGAAGCCCAGTGTGGACAACGAGTTGTTCCGATCTATGGGAGAAGCTGAGTTCACTTTGAATATGTATTGAATGTGGCTTTCATTGGTTATTTTGTTTAAATTTCAGATAAAACTCAGAGGAAACTTGCACAGATGCTGCTTTGGAGAACTTTCAGCCCAGGTTGCAGAGCTGAGCCTTGGTAAACCTGTCTCTATTACAGCACATTGCCATACATCTAAGTGCATAAGGTTGGTGGCCTCCAGGATCCACACACCTTAATCAGAATGCTTAGCATGTTTACCATAAGTTTAAAATCTGTTCTTTATCTATCAGTCCTTTTATAGCTTTCTAAGTTCATATAATGGCTAATATGCAAGAGTTCATTTTTAATAGTTTAATTGATTTCTTTAATCAATTTCTGAACTTGTATTTATTAAATACTTAAACTCAGTATTACCTACTCAATGCCTTTTAAAAGAGAGTTTTAATGGAGAATAAATTGAGCCTTAAACAAATGGTTACTTCTGTATATTACCTCGCATCAGTGCTTATTTCTATTTGCAAAGTTTTCTCCTACAATGTAGTTGGTCATTCTTCGAGACTTTTTGTTTACGTGTGACAGTGTCATGAAAAGATACTGAGGGCACCTCTGTTGTATGGATGTAGTATCCCTTTTCTTGGCAAATGCAGCTGTGATATTGTTTGTTAACTGCTCTGATTTAACAATAGGGATCACTTGGAACGGGATGTGAAGTCTCTGGCTGATGTTTCTTTTCTTGCAATCATGAGTTTCTTAAACTCATTTAATCAAAAAATGACAATTGTAGCATTGCAAAATGGCAGCACACTTTTCCTCCTACTGAGTTTCTAAACTTGCTTGTTTACAAGTAGCTTCTTCATGCCTTTGAAAAGGGATAATGTATCCTTCAAAATGGGCTGTATGCCTAGTCAGAGTCAGCTCAGCTTTGCCTGGCACATTGAGACATCTTGTAGACCTCTGCACATGTAAATCTAATGCAAATAAGATCACTTTACATTTTATAGTTCCTAATATTGTCTTTCTGAATAATATTTTAAAGCAATATTTGTTAAAGTTTTTCTTGCACTGTCACAAATTGCTTTTTAGTTTTTTTTCCCAATAAGCAAGTTTAATGTTAGAGACAAGTTGGTGTAACAAGGGGAAAAGCACCAGGTTTCAGTGATACTAACTGTAAGCGTGCTTTAAACAGCCATTGCCTTCCGTATTGTTTACCTGATCAACATTTTCTCTGAATACTTGAAAATTTTAACAATAACACAGGTATAAAGAGCAGAATGAAAATGTACAAAGAACAGATGAAATCTTTTTGTTCTGTTTTATTAACATGTTGCATACATGAGAGCTTTTTCTAGCAGTGGTTTAAAATGTGTAATTTTTTTTGCAGAAGTTTAATAACTGCAGCTCACCTACTGCACCAAAGTTCTAGGTTTTTAGGAGCCCAGCTTTAGTCATTTGAACATGCTTCTAGAAATGTACATTCTTTTCCTGTAATAGCTAAATAACTTTGAGAAAAGCTCCAGTAAAAGCAGTGATGGATATATGAGGTTAAGCAGTTTAAAACTCACAAAATGTATTGTGGATGATGGCATTTGAAACAATAAAAGATCACCGGTACAGTATCTCAACATTAATGTGTTTTATTGGTAATAATGCAGGCTGACTTTACAGTGTTTAGCAGAAATAAAGGTTCTGAGTCTACATTCAGTGTTGAATTTGAATCCTGAAAAGAAGAGAACATCAGGTTTTCTGCTTGGGTATTAAAACACCTGATTTTTTTTTCCTGTGGGGTTACTTGAATTTTTTTCCCCCCTGTTTGTACAAACTTTATAAACAGGCTGAGGCTAATGTTTAGGTTTGCACTTTAATATCAGAATTAAACCAAACCTTGTATTCAAAGTAGACTTTTAAGTGGTGGTTGTTGCTCTTTTTTTGTAGGTTGTAAGGAAGTAATAGGAAATAAAAGTAATTCATAAAGATCTTAGTTTTCCTTTATCTAAGGGGGGAAAAGTTGGTTAATATTAATCAGTGGTTCATTCCTATGGGTAGTTATCAAGCCAGTGTTCATTTTCATCGACCTCAGCAAAAAAAAAAAAAAAAAAAAAAAGAGGAAAAAAAAAAACCTTGAACTAGCTTAGAGTGACAGGACTGGGAAAACGAGAGATGGTTTCTTCAGCACACTTTGGGGGGGAAAAAGGGACCAAAAGTTATTTTAGGCTTCCTCAATAGATTGCATGTGAAGTTGCTTATTAGAGTAAGAGGCTAATAATAAATGAAATATGTATTGTCTTTACTATGGCATCTGTTTAGGAGTTGTTCAAATCACTGCAGTAGGGCTCTACAAATAAAAATGTAACCTAACATCATGTATCTAATGTACTGTATCTTTATCAGTGATAGGTGAAATCTGGAATAACAAGTGCAAAAATGGAACAATTACCTATAATGCTTTGTAAAAAGTTTTTTCCAGTAGAAATCATTATTGTCATTTTGTAAGACAACCCTACAGTCCACCTGTTTGTAACTTTTTTAATAAAATAGATACCTGTATTACCAAACTGGGGTGACTAGTCTGTGTTCAATTTCTTCTGAAGTGGGCTGAATAAACAAGCCTCTTATTTAGTAACTTTTTTTTTTTTTTTTTTTTGGAGGTACTGGTTATTCTGAACATAGTAGCTACCCCTGAATTGTCATGGATTACAACTTCTAGCTCAGGGAAACCATGCCTGCACCCCTGCTGGGATGGCATAAAGCATTACCTCATGCCTTGAATAGAGAAGATGGGGTCCAAGGGCTGCCTGTTCAGAGCTGCAGTGGTGCTTCTGCTCGCAGGCTGGTATGATGAGGCTTTGTTCGATAGCATCCATGTTTGTCTTGTCCAAATCTGTAATGTCCTTATTTTTCATACAGGCTTTTGTGTTCACAAAGGTGACAATGGGTAGGGGTCCTGACATCAGGTTATGATGTTCCTGTAGCTACTCTCCCTCATAGTAACCCTGAACTGGCATCTTTCCACCACACCATCCAATAAGCACACTCGGAGTTCTGCCTCAAGAGAGGTGGAATATTTGTCTACAAAACCTTTCAGCTGAGAGTGCTATTTGATAACCATTATCTTAAATGCTCAGTAAAAGCCTTGAATTTGCTAAGTCAGTGATTGAATCATCTAGACTCTATAACAAAAAGTGCATCTTCCTCGGAACTTAATGTCTTGGTACTGACCTTTTATATGGCTTTTGTAACTAATGCCACATATTAATGTGAAATGTGCTTTAAACTTTAAAAAACAACAACAAAAAATTTGCTACTTTAACAGCACCTTTGGTTGTCTGTATTGTGTCGGCAGGCAAAATCACCTAGCACGCTTAATGCTTCTCTTCCTGGTAAAAAGTGTTAGCCTTATCTTGTTGGTAGGCATCCATACTGTGTCTTCCTCCTCCTCAGACTTCCTCACTGAGACAGGGAAATAATTTCCATCTCAAGGGAAAATGACAGAGAAGAAAGGTAGGCTCCCGTTCTAAATGATCTTGGAGTGAATGTATGCTTCCCCAACCTCCCCCTCTCAAGGAGTGTTGCTCTGAGTAGCACTGATGTGTCAGCGAGTGTGTTAGCTGACAAAGGCTGATGTGCATTCAGATGTAACTAGTTGATGGGTCGTTGTCTGTGTCTGTTCTCTTACGCAGTTTAAAAAAAGTCATAGTTGGGTGGTAATATTCCTGGTTCTCGTGGCACTCTAGTGTAACTAAGCTGCTTCCTCTTCTCTCTCAGGCCAGGAACTGACGACAAGTGCAGCCAGGAAGTCCCTGGGACTTCACAGCACTGGTTTGTTTCAAGGTGACAGTAGAGTCATTGGGGATGGGGTTTTAAGGAAGTGTGGAAGATTTATGTTTAAGGCCATTATATTTCAAAAGTCTTGGTGCTGAGAGTCAACTCAGCTACTGCTGTACAATTGTTAAGTAGTGTCCTTCATAAAACAGGTGTGACAGCTTCATGTTGTTTTAAACCTGGGCTAGCTGGTTTAGAGGGCTGTATAGATGGGACTTCATAAGCAAAGCTTTATTTTTGGTGGAACAGTTCCTGCTGTAAAAGTGCCCATACTATGCAGAAAGCCACCCAGTGTCCCACTTCTCCTGTGTGGTCAGGACAGGTATTACCCCCAGTGTATTTGGAAGGCACTAGCTAACCACGGCACAGGCGAGGGGACTCTCCCACCCTGCTCCCATGTAGCAGGGTGCCACGTAAATGAATTGCTAACGAGGGCAGAGCTGGCCTTGCAGCCTGGCTGGCTGCACTGGGCTATGAACCAACAACCGCACGAACCCTGCAGTGGAGACGGCTCTAGGAGGAAGTACACAGGGTACCCGGAGTGGGTGGGGTGCGAGCCGACCGCCACACCTCATGTCGGGTAGCAAGCTGTTATCTGCCCTAATAGGCTTTGCTGTAATTACAGTTTTGAGCTAGGTGGAAGTGTCTAGCCTTAATTAAAATGAGATACGGGTTCTCAAACAATGTCTATTGACCTGTTTGAGTTATCTCTGCTGAAAAGTCAGCAGTCCTGCTAGCTTGGCTTGCTGGTAGGCGCTTCAGTCGTTTGTTGGTTGAGTCACTGCTCGCTTAGCAGCTGGAGGAAGCGTGTGCACAGCTACTGCGGCTGCGGGCAAGTTCAGTCAAGAGATGAGGTGGCTGTGGTCCTGTGCTCTGCACAGTGTGAAAGTGAAATAATAAAGGGTGCTTCACTTTTAGCTCTGCCTGGTCAGTACAGCTGTGAGGAGCAGAGAAGATGGACTTTCAGCTGTAAATCAGCAACTATGTTTTTCAATTCAAAGGTCAAATCCTACCTGTAATTATTTCTTGGCTCTGTTGAGGGCAGCATTGAGCTTACAATAGCTTTGCTGGCAGCAATGATACAGTTCAACTACAAGACTGTGGGGGGTAATTTTTTTTCTTTATGGAACCAATATATTTAGCATGGAATCAATCTTAAAAGATCACCCCTCGAAGCTGTGGTTCTCCTCATAGCCCTTCAAAAAGTCCAGAGTTAACTGCAGCAGTTGATGGGGAAGGGTCTCTTGTGTTGCAGGAACCTGAAAAACACTCAATGAAGGGAAGCATTTGCTGTTTGTATTTGTTTTCTGATGTGTCTGTGCTCTTTGGTGTTCTGCAGGGTCTGTTTGAATGTGCTTTCTACCAGTGACTTACTTCCTCCAAATCATATTTTCAGTGATAAAGCTTACATCACATTTGAGGCTCTGAGACATTGCTGGCTACTGGGTAACCTCAGTTCTTAATTAGAAGAAAAATGTTAATTTGGGGGGGGGGGGGCATAAAATGAAGACTGCATTAAGGCTACAAGGTGCTTAGGCTTACCTGGAGTCAGATGCACTGACGTAGTAGAATAATTTTCATATTGCATAGTAGAATAATTTTGACATTTCATTTCTTGAATGTAAATAAATAAGTGGGCTAGATCTAAAAATCAAAATGATTTTTTTTCAGATTTATGAGAAGTCTTTTATACTTTTGTAATACCACGATAGAAGTGATTTAGACTTCTTATGCTTATACAAAATATAGGAATAACAGCTGATATTTAATTATATCAGTGAACACAGTAATTATAAGTGAACACAGTAATTCCAGTAGATTCTTGGGAAATTTCAGGCTCTTAAGTTCCTTGCTTTTTTTTTTTTTTTTTTCCCTGCCTCTAGGCTGAATTTTTTCTCCATTTTTATGTCCTTAGAAGATCTGCCTTGACATTAGATTTAAATTATGTGGTCAGCACAGAAAAGAGAAAATATATTTTCTGTTTGTAACATTCCTTAAGGGCTACTTGTCCATTTGGGAACTAGCAGATAGGATCGTTAATTGTCAGCCTGGGATTCATCCTACCACTGTAAAAGAACTTAGACAATTAAAAGCAAATTAGGAATGTAATCACCCATAGCATGACTACTCTGGGAAAGCAAGAAGGAATAAACAGAATTTTCAGCAAAGCTGATTTATGTTGGAAATCAGAGAAAACATCTCACTGGATGGCTGACGTGCTGGAGCAAGCTGCATTTGGAGGTGATGGAGAATTTTTGAAGTCAACACCGGGTAACCATTTGCTGAAGGAAGGAGCATGTGTGGTGTGTATAGCTCCTGCCTCCATATATGCTGGGTTGTCATGTGGGATCTCCTGAAGTCCCTTGCAGCCCTGTATTTCTATGACCTCAGTCACATTACTGATCCTGGCACTGTTTTCCATTTGATGTTCCAGGAATTAGCACAGACTTGCCAAATGCCTTATGTTTAATCTCAGTAATGCAAATGTGTTTTCTAATAGGTTTGAATAAAGATTTTAGCTTCAGGGCCTGTCCTAGGGTCAAGCTGTGGTTGGAAGTACTTTGCAGTCTGGCTGTGAGTGGTTTCTTTTGGGGAAAATCTGTTAGTTGCCTCTCTGAACAAACATTTTAACTATGTAGGCTGTTTCTCTATGAACTGTCAGCACGCTATCTCGGGCAGTCTGAATTGTTTTATCTTGTGGCCAAAATTAATGATTGAGAAAGATTTTATGAATATACCCCTGAAACTTTTTGCCAGTCACGGTATAGGAATGTTTCCTGTTCTTTGAAACACGTCTGTCTTTCAGCTTCCACCCTCTGCCAGAAGGCCCTGGAAGAGGAACTGTAAAACAGGGGTTGCCTTTGATCACTACAAAGTTACCAAGTTCCCACCTTCAGATGGATGCTGCTCTATTGTCCTCTGCTTCCTGCTGTGAAGAATGGCTTTGACTCAACTTCAGCTCTGCTTTGAGCTATATACTTGGAATTTGGTGGGCCTTAATAGGACTGAAGTGTGATAAGGGTTTTTAAATGAAGAATAAAAGCAAAGGAAGTGAGTGGGAGAAGAGAGACTACCTGGGAGGGAAACATGTTAACAAAATGCAGGATCAAGATCTATATGGTGAGATGGGTCTGATCCGTTAGCCTGGAGGCACCTTGAGAACACGTGCATTTCTTCACCTAGATGTAATCAAGGCTTACTCAACCAGAGCTAGTTGTCTCCAGCCAAGAAGGAAACCACATCTGTCATGAAAACAAGCAATATAGTTCCTTAGAAGTCTGTCCTTTTCTCTAGGATTCAGTTTCTTCATCTGGTGTTGCAGACTTAATGTGGCAGCTTCCTCAGAGTCAGCCTTTGGCCATGGGATCCTTCCTGATGACAATCAGCAAAGGAAGCTGCCTTTATTACCTTATCAATTTCATTCCCTTCTGAAGAGTTGCTGCTGTTTATCGTCTCCAAACTCTCGATTGCCAGAGCTGCGTGAGCAGAAGAGCAGACACTACCCACCCGTCAGTCAGGTTTCTGCAGTGTAGTGCGTGTATGTTGAAATCAATATTCATTCCTAGCTGGGGTCTGATGTTTTCTCCCTTTGGGGCATAAGTTGGGAAAGATCTGCGTGCTACTCTTGGAGAGCCCGAGGGGGAGGATTGATTGGTTTGTCTTCCTGACAACACTCACAAGGACAGAGAGCCCAGGCGTCCTGAGACCTTGTCACAGGACTGCTGCATTACAGGTAAATTTACGCTACCTTTACCCTGTTGACATGGCCACATGCAAGTGGACCGTGAAGTGTTCATGCTTGAAACAAATGAAGGATGGCATATCCTAGTCTGACTTTTTGTACTACTACATGGATGTAGTGAGATGCATCTCCCTAGCCAGAAATGACTGAAAGCTGAAACATGCCTGAGTCTCTGGAGGAATCAGTGCTCCTTTGACTTGATGTGTTCACAAGGCTTTCTTTTTCTGTATAAATTGCTTTGTGTCTTGGAAGCGATCTGTTAGAATTAAACATCACTGAGTGCTTTTTACATAGCTGTGCCAACAATGGAGCACAACTGACGCATTAAAAATGAGATAACATCGTATTCTGGATAATACCAGAGTTGTACTACTATTTTTCTTACAAAGGTTATTTTTCTTATATAGGTTTCTTATATAGCACTAGCATAAAGCAAGCTGCCTTCTTCACTGCCTGATAATAGTTTTTACATAGCATCTGAAAAACGAAGGAAAGTTAGCAATGTACATCAACGCATGGTAGGTAGTGCTATTGCTGTACCGAATCGCTCGTCTGTGCGCACCGAGTTGTCACCCGTACTGTCTGGTTGTTGGGCACAGCAACCACGAGAGGGAGCTTGGAAGCAAGGATCTGGTTCCTCCTGGCAATGGTCTTTGTATTGCGGGGCTGTGCTCTGTCCCTGGAGAGCAAACGCGGTTGTGTACAGGTTAAGAACAAAAGAATAACTGAGATAAATTTATATTTCAGGACTTTGGTAGCATGGTCAGAGTATATCTTAGTAAGACTTCCAAGAAAGTTTTGCACTTACAGTTAATTTATCTATTGGGTGTCTGGAATTGCAGATCACACTCGGAGACTTTTTCTGCGTAATGAAGGGTTATTTTTCTTTTCCTACTCTATTATTACATCTTGGTAAGTATTGTTATTTACCTCAGCTGCCGAGACAGAAGCAAAAATGTCATCACAAGAATAAGATCTGATACAACTCTGCTTCCTTGGATATCAGAAATTATCACTGGAAAAAAAGAAAGAAAAAAAAGAAAAAAAAAAGCAGGAGGAGCAGAGTGATTGACTCTTAATTTGACTTAGTGCTTAAATAAAGCTGAACCTACTTTTTCTGGTTTTGTTTGTTTGTTTTTTAAATTGCAACCTGGTCCAACAGCTGAAACGTCAACATGCTTCTTACCACGTCAGGGTCACCCTCTGCTCCCACACAGACAGACGCCTGCAGGTTGTAATGAACACGGGTCTGCTGGTTTGGCTGGGATGCCTGCCTGCAGGAGAGCTGCCTCCACAGAAGCTGGACCATTCCAAAAAAGTCCCGTCCCTTGTTTATCTTGCAATACTTCCCAGCTGAACCCTGATGCAAATAATTCATACAGCTAGTGTGTAATTGTGTCATCACCTGCCCTGGCACCACCTGGTGAGAGACTGGCAGACGGCACAATTCTTCCTTATACTTGTCTTCATTTCCAGCCTAACACCAGGGGTGTTGCACATCAGTCCTCTTGTCAGAGTTCAGGCATCAAGGCTGGTCCCCTCCTGCCAGCCTCATCAAGTTTTGCAGACGGAATATATTAACGCTGATGAACACCGGGGTGTCTGTGGAGCTTCTTTCAGTGAGTAATTTGTGATGTTGCATTGCCATAAGTACAGCTCTCAGTGGGAATTCTAGCAAGAAGAGCAGCCACCAAGCATCTGAAATACTACACAACCTTTCCTTGGGTAGGACTGGGGCAAACCGGGGGCAAATTACGCTGCTGCATAATGTCACCTTCTGGTGTCAAAGCAAAGCGTGGCCTGATCCTGCTGTTGGAAGCTAATGGGCAAAACCCACCTAAAACACAAAATTAAAAATGCAACCGTTTCTACTTTCCCAGCAATTACTTATGAGTAATAAGTTACAGCAGAGTGATGTCAGACTGTTTAACTGATGTTTGGCAAGAAAATTTGATGGAAATGCAAATGTGTCATTGTTGATTATATTCAATCCATAGAATGGTTCTGGTGCAGAAGTTTCTGGAAGGGCAGGACTTGGCTGGTCAACTGTATCTGTTGAGATATGCTCCAAATATAATGACTTGTGAAATCAATGAAAAATAATAGTCATTGTTAAAGCTTTAGGGAACTTTTTTGTTTGTACCAATCACTGATGTATTTCTGAGAATAGGCCCATTTGAGAACTGTCAGTGAATACCACTTTGGCAGATGTCTTTATGATCTTTTCTCAACAACAAATTAATGAATTATTTATATGCAACCTTCTTAATCCAGGGATGGGCCTGGACTTTGACAGTGTGACGTCGCAGAGTGGCAGGCGCGCTTGCTGGCAGCCTCCCACTGAATTAGCAGCATAAATGCTTTCCTTTTCCTTCCAGTTGCTTCCCCTGCCCACACAGGTCTCCAGTTGTCATTGCCAGCAACAGGCATTCCAGGAATGATTGCATCAATTGGGAAGTCTCCTTACTAATGCAAGACTGAAAGCAGGAGGCATCTGTGCTCATACCTGGAGGCAGAGAAGAGGCTGGCTGAAAGGACGCAGCTCATCCTTTCCTCGGCCCCATGGCAGGACCCAGTTTTCTTGGACTGTCTGCTCGAGTGTTTTCCTTGCCTCACAGTTTACAGGTCTTGCTTAGCACCTAACTCAGATCTTTTCTGCAGTTTCAAATTATTTCTTTGTTTCCCTCATAGCTCAGGAGCCCAGCTGGCTGGTCATCCTGACATGGTCCCGCAAAGAAATAGATCATTGCCATTTCCTCTCTGTTTTTTTTTTTTTTTTTTTGTTGTTGTTGTTGTTTTTAAATTTAGTTATTTCAGACTTTAGTCTTTGAAGTTAGATTTTGGGGGAGGGGGTGTGGTAAGGCATTAAAATAAATAAAGCAACTAGTACCTAAGCCAAGACCCCAGCATAGAGTGAAACAATTCCTTTTGCTGTGGCAGCAGAAACATTGCAGGAATCATGTTGCAGAAAGAAACTTACCTGGTTTGCAGTATCAGTGCCCTACCTCAGGCTTCTTAACCAGCTGGTTAATGAACTATGCTCCTTGTGCCTCACGCTGTTCAGCCAGGACTTCAGCTTCACCTGAGCCTGTGGCCAGAGACAGCAGCCAAGCCACGGTGCTGCTTCCTTGAGGAGCTCCCTGCCTGGGTGGAAGTCCTCCAGCAGCTCCGTCTGGCTATGGTCATACCGAGGAAGAGGAGATCGGTCCTCTTTGGGAGGTCTGCACGTGACACTGCCCCCTTCCAGTGACACAACAAGCATCAATTCTGGGCCAAGGAAAGCACTAGAAATTCAGTCCCACAGTGCAGTGACCAGACACTTAGCACAGCCAGCCTCTTTCCCTCGCCACTGGCAGATTAGTTCACCTGCTTTGCAGAGCACATTCACATGGAAAAGCAGATTAGCTTCAATATATATATATAAATTTTTTTATTTTTTTTTTGCCCCAGTCAGTAGAATACTAATAGGAAGGTGGTTCTGTAGGTTTTTACTCTCTGCAGCCCAGAGAGCAAGCTAAGCATGTGCCCTGAGAGGCTCTGTCCTGCCATTGCCAGGAATAACTGGGAAGTGTAAGAGGGACCACAGCAAATGGCTCAGCCGCCTGGAGTTGTTGACAGTGGATATTTCAGTGGAAACTGAGAAGAAAGCAAGGAGCAAAATCTCAGCAGCACTCAATGTGGCTTTTTAGCTTTGCTTTGAGTCCCCCAGGACTGCGAGTGGTTGGGGCTTTTTCCGGGAGCAGCAGTAGTGATCCCCTGTGACAGTCCAGTGGCTGCCCACCATAAGGGGCAGTCAGAGGAAAAGGGCAGAGAACGGAGTGGGGGGGGGGCACTCTGCCTCCCCAAGAAGGGCTCCCACGGCATTTTGGTTCAGCAGGAAACATTATGGGGTCTCTGGTGAAGTCCATCAGCCCTCCTGCCAGGTTCATGTGCATCTGCTGGGCTGATAGGACCTGACCTACCAAGAGGCTCGCCTCGCCGCACCGGCCAAATGCAGGACTGCTAGCGAGCAAAAGTTTCAATGCAACTTAACTGGAGCAAAGCGCAGGTAATGCTCACTGCTCAGTGACTTCTGCAGGAGAGCTGCTCACCTCTTTTTTTTCCCCCGACCCTGCTGTGTAAAACCTGGGCTCGCTTTGCCCTCACATTTCTCAGCAGGAGCTGTAAAACTGCATGTTTATCAGACACTGTCCCTTCCCCATCAGTGTGACTCTTGCACAGCCTTCTCCCCTAGCGACAGAAGCATCATTCACAGGGGGAAGTATCCTGCAGTGTAGTGGTGATCTTCAGACCAGGGGAGGCATCAGTATTTTTTTTGACTTGGTTTTAGGCATTCCACTCCTTTGCTGCAACCTCCACTCCACATCTGTGACTGCAGCCTTCTGCACCCAGCTGAGAAGGAAATGATGTGTGAGCGAGGAGTCGGGGCTCCCTGCTCACAGCACTAGGACTCTGCGCCTGCTGCACTGCACGCTCAGCTGCATGCTTGAGGATGCTGCATCTGAAAGTCCAGTTCCTGGATGACTCCCAGAAGATCTTTGTAGTTGATGTAAGTGGGTATGATATTATTGGGTTTTGTGCTAATTAATGAAGTAATTTCTACTCTGCAGGATTGCATGGCTCTCTAATGTTCTCTGCTAGCTTCTGGTGTTCAGCTTTGCAAAGCAAAAGGACAAAACAAGCAAAACAAACAAACAAAAAAGATTAAAAAAAAGAGCTCACAGTGCTGATTACTAAGTGTCTTTCGGCACCAACACACTCCCACTCTCTCCTCTTGTTGGGATTACTTATAAAGAAGGAGGAATGTCTTTTATTTATCTGGTGTTATCTTTTGGAAATCAGCTCATATGAAGTGATGTTCTTGACAAGCGTGGAGTTCTCTTATTTGTCTGACTGCAAGCATGAGCATTCAACAAGGAAGCAAAATCTGAGAACAGAATAAAAATAGCATATTTAACTACACTACCCATGGTGAGAAACATCTGTATACATCTCTTCTTGGGCATTCTGTTGAAAAAGAAAGCTGTGGTTTTGGGGATAAGTGAGGAAAAAAACTTATTGTGTCTTGTTTTCTGTATGACAGTGTCCCAAAACACACTGTCATTAATGATTCATATTTAATAAATACTAGCTTTGAATATTGACTGCTGGAATATATTTTAAATATCGGGAATCAATATCTATGATATTAGATGTATATATATGTATGTGTGTATAGATAACTGGAACTAAATGTAGTGGATGTCCTGTCTATGTGTTAGAATTACAAGTGTCATTGAGCAATTGCTGTTGGTTAGGATTTGACAATCACAGTAGCTAAACAAATTAGGTAATTCAGGTAGATCTGTTCTAGTCCTCACCTACATATCTTATGGGACCAGTATGTTTTATAGATAACCATTTTTGTTTGCAAGTTCTTTTACATTTCTTAGACATTCCTGTCCTTTTTTATAGCATAGCCTAAGAACTACTTGGTTTCACCATACTGGTCAGTTTCTTTGCAATGGCAATTTTGCACAAAAGAGGATTGCAAAGGAATTTCATCTCTTGGACTGATATGGAAGTTGTCTGATTTAGTTTAATTAATATATCATAGACCTGGAGTCTGCTTGAAAATGAGATTAGTGTTAATTTTATTTATTTATTTATTTTTGTATCCATTAGATCAGGGCACAGTAAAAGACGATTTGAAAGCTGCTGCTGTTACAATATTGCTGCACTTTATCCATCTCTGCTTTCTTATTTCCCAAAACACTTCCAGTCCTGCAGCAACATGTTATTGCAGCAAATGGCTTCCATTAAGTGACTCGGAGCTGATTCCTTTTTTAGCATGGAAGGGTCGTGGAAACCCCTTTTAGCCATTTCATGTGTTTCATGCTGCGTGGTTGCGATAAATGAGTAGCTGAATTAGTGAGTTCTCCATTATATCAGGACCGCTTTGGGCTAAGTCTTGAGCATACATTTCAAGCAACTCTTCCTAAACCTGGAAAGGACTTGGAAAGCTCTTTTCAATGGCTAGTACGTCAGTATAATGGCTGGGAGAAAGACAGCAGAAAGAAAACCCAGTGGACTTGATGCCTTGTGCTCAGCGTGTGCATTTGTACCTACCTTGCATGGGTATGGCAGCTGCTAGCACGTGTGGCCAGGCTTTTGCAGGTGGCCAGGACTGGTGCCTTCCCTGCAGCCACACACCAGGGCCAGCTCTGCAAGAGGGCACTGCAGCTGCAATCCCCAGCTGGCAAGTTAAAAGCTGCTGGGGGTGTAACGAGGTGATCCCATGGCAGGGGAAGGCATTAGCCTGGTGCTGGCACATCCCTGCATGCTCCAGTGGGCCCAGCACCTTACACTTGGGAGGACACTGGGATGCCCTGCCCCAGTGCCCTGGCACCCAGACAGCCCCACGTCAGCATTCACTGGCCTCTGGCACTGAGAGGAGACCTCGCAAAGCTGCCTCCCTACTTCTCCCCCCTGCCCCAGATATCTAAAGCTGTGAACTGGCGCGTGCTCTTGCCTATAAAGCCACTCTTCTCTCTGGAAAGGGTTTGAACAAAGCAGCCCTGAGCCCCTGGAGCCTTGAGAGAAGCACAGAAAGAGCATGATCCACTTCACAGCTTCACAAAAGCTGGGTGTTTGCAGGGTTCGCATCTTTGCAAGTAGACTTTGCTACAGGGCAAGATTCATTGGGAAGGAAAAAAAAAAGAAAGAAAGAAAAGGGAAACCAAACAAGCCAGGAAAACTAATTGCTGGAACTGAGTGAAGGACAAAGTCTCCCTTGGTCTTGTGTTCCTTCTAATGAGAAAAGACTGGAATTTTTGAAAGGAGGTGCATAGAGCTGGCTGCATGCAAGCTGGTCCAGCAAGGGGGTGGGGAGCACTAGGGCTGGTGGCTTTTTGGGGTATGGTCACAGCAATTCGCCCCCCAAAACACATTTATGGGTGCAGTGACAGGAAAAGCCACTGAAATGTGGCTTTGCCCTTGGAGCACGGGCACTGCCAGGAGGTCCTTTGGGGAAGGCTGTGCACGTCCCTGTGCATCACACATGCTGCTGTCTGCTTCTGGACATGCCACTCCATTTCATACCCTGCTTATGGCCCCATCTGCGCCCAACAGGTAGAGGAAGGGTGCGTGCAGCCCCTCCTTTCTATCGGCCTCACCACTGAGGTTTCTGCCTGTGGCTGCTGCCCTGGCCCTGCAGCATCATTGTACAGACCACCAGTGGCACATTTGGGCTGGGATGTAGGTTCCAGTCCCGCACGTTGCATGCCTGCTTTGCAGTGCAGCACAGCCCCATCTACATGCACCAAGGAGAGTGGCTCGCTGCCCACAGATGTGGAGGCTAATAACGTGGTAGGAAATGCTTGTCTTCCCTGGATGCCTGACAAAGGCCAAGGCCTTTCATGCTGGAAAATTCTAGCTTGGAAATCAACAATTATAATTGTTTTAATTACCTCTGCGATCCAGTAATTTTGAGGAGAACCGGGAGTGCTGCAGAGCGAATGCTGTTATTACGCTATCACTTTTCAGCAGCCTTACAGAGCGGAGCTAGCAATTTCACCCAGGGAGAAGCTGTGAAAGGCGGTCATTAGCATGCAGCCCCTGCCAGCACCCCATCCCCTCCCACCCCTGCGCAGGCTGTGCAGCACGACTCCCCTGCCCTACTCCTGGCCCCAGCTGGCCTTTGCAATGACCACTGCTTGTTTCTGGACCTGCTTTTCCTGGGTTAATGATTTAGGAACATGAATTTTGCTGGGTTTGGTCATTTCCATGGTCATCTTTGGTGTTTTCTGGCCTGCCAGGTCACTCCCCAGCAGTGTGGTGACAAAGCCGAATGCCCTCCGAGTGTTTCTGTTTCCTGGGTGTACATAAACCTGGCCTCCCTTATCGGTGTGCAGTGCCACTTAACTAACATCGCTGAAGTTCACAGATGACCCGGGGCCCAAGGCACAGGATCTCTGCAAGGTCCAGTTGCCGTTAATTACCATTAACGACAGCTCATCCTGGCCATCTGCCTGCAGGCTGGCCGCACTGGTGGGGTGCCCTGGTTTGCAGTGACCTGTGCACCTTTGCCTGCAATGTGCCTGTTCACAGGCTCCAGCCAGGGACAGAGCTTTCCCAATGGCTGTAACAGGCAAGGCGAGACTGAGATTTCTTTCCTCTTCCTTCCCCTCCTGATTTATTAAGTTCCTTAATAAAGGCGAGAAGTGATGAGGAGGAATCTGACTTCCAAGAGCTGAGGCAAATGTCACTACAGCTGCCATCATCCCGTCCCACATACCAAAGCCATCAGCATTTACTGAGTAAGGTTTTGCTGTGGCACAGTTTGGAAAAATCCCGCAGCCTATCTCAGCTGAAGGGAGGGGGTTAAATCAGTCTTCCCAATCTCCCTGAAATCCTCGCACCGCTGCTGTCAGCATTGCCTAACCTGCTGCTTCCCTGCTGTGTTTGCTCACTAGCAAAAATCCTGTGGAAGAGGGCTGTTTAACCTCACCTGCAGCCACCTCAACCTGGTGGAGAAGGAGTACTTCGGGCTGGAGTTTCGCAGCCAGGCCGGGAACCACGTGAGTGCAGTTGCAGCACAGCCCCATCGCAGTGCCCACAGCCAGGCAGAAGCAGCCCGCGCTGCTGCAGGTGCTGGAACCTCCACAAAATACTGGGTGGAAAATCAAAACGGAAAGGCTTGCCATAATGCTAAAAAAACTTGAAAATAGGAGTCAGAAGTCATGACCTGGTCGGCAAAGCCCTGCTGACAGCCACAGCCCATAGGGTTTATCCGTAACCACCTGTGGCAAGCAGCGCAGCCCCAGCAGGATGGTTTGTGGTGGTCCCCAAGCTAGCCAGTGTTCCTTTATGGTGTTCCAGCACGATGCTCCTGCTTCTATTCCCACTGCCCTTGTGCTGTTTATTCACCCAGTTCGTTGCCTTATTTCAGGTCTGGCTGGAGCCACTAAAGCCCATAACAAAGCAAGTCAAAAGTAAGTATTTCAAACATAAAACTCATCTCAGTCGCTACCAGTGGGGGCATATTTGTGTAGTTTCTTGTGCTGGAGGACAGGATCTCAGGTTTTTGGCATTTACCTGAGCAACTCATGTGGTGTGAAGCTGGGCAGAATTGTTTGCAAAAACAGCATTGTCCACATAAAATCCTGCAGAAATGCCTTTTCAATCTGCTTTTTGCAGCATTTTGAGCCTGAGCTGTTAATATCCTGACAGCTTGGCGGAGGGGCAGGGGCGGCTGCGTGCATGTGCGTGCGTGTTTGTGCGTGTTGCTGTGCTGGCAGAGCAGTAGGAACGGCTCTCTGAGTGTCCTCCTTTCCCCTTTGCAGCTCTTAGCAGCCCAGATGCCCACACAGCACGAGCCCTGTGTAGAGCAGGGTTAACCCTGTGCCTCACAGGCGTGCAGCGACCCCACTCAGCCCCCAGACCCCCACGCTGCTGCACAGTGATGCAGCACAGCCTGACCTGAATCCATGGCCTGTGTTAACACAGCACCTCTTTCAGCCTATTTCCACCCCCATGATGAACCAAACAGTATTGTCCCCAAATACATGATGACTAGCAAGTGGTCAAGAGCACGAGGCCATGACCCGTGTGTTTGCAAAGGGGAGTCCCAGAGCCATCCCGTGGTGGCCTGGGATGGTTGGTGCCTACACAATCGCCTCCCTGCACTTTTTCTGGGGTTTGGCTTCTTGCTCTTGCCTGTCCCACAAACCAGCTTTGCCCAAATGGCCTCCCCTGAAGCTGCTGCATCCCAAGTGCTTGCAGGGCTGGGTAAAGCCCAGGGCTTTTGCTGAGGGTTTAATGTACAGCTTCTGATGGCAGCTACCGTGGGGCTCTGGCCACACTTCAGAACAGCACCCATAGCACTGCTCCAGTGGGGACCAATCTGCCAACCCCACTCCTGGCGGGGGCCTTTACACTTTAAAGGAATGCTGAGGCAATTTTGAGGTGTCCAACTCCCTGTCTGCTTCCATCCTGGATGCCAGGGGTTGGGGCAGGCTGGTCCTTCCAGGCAGAATGGAGATCTTGATGCTCAGGGCTTCCAGCCCTGGTTTGTAAGTGACCAGGGTGATTTGCTCTGTAAGGAGACAGCATGTGTGAAAAGAGTTGTAAATGTTCTCAATAGGCACATAAAAGAAAACTTATGAAGATGTTGTGTTTTAAGATCCTAAGGAGGTTCTTTTCAAATTTATGGTGAAATTTTTCCCAGTGGACCCTGGACATCTGAGAGAAGAGCTGACCAGGTACTGTGTTTGTTCTGCTCCTTCCTTATTGCACAGTCCTATGTTTTCACAGTTGCAGTGCATGTGTATAAAAGTCCTTATCTTCATCCAACCAAACCGATCTGTTAGCAATGCTAATACTAAGTATTGACTGAGCTCTGTGCTTTACAAAACAAAACTGCAAATAGTATCTTGGTGCTCTATTTTTATATAAAAACCACTTGAAAATCAGCCATCTTAAGAGACTGCAGTGTGTTTACTGCCAAACGTTTTAGCAGTTGAGCACCAAGTCTGACTTTGCTCAGTCTAGCTCCTGCCTCAAGCTGTGTTCTGAAAGAAAAACCTTAATTTTATTTTTAAAAATGACATTGCTAGCTCTTACATTTCAGAGGACGCATTGCAAACAGGAGCTAAGAATAAAACCAATACAGTGCTTCTGCTACAACATTAGCCCTGAGAGGAGACACGAATGCCCTCTGAAGCATAAAGGAATGTTAGCTCTGAAACCTATTAATGGCCATTTAAATGGCAGGGGCATTCTGCTCCGTGGTGGTGCCCAGCTGTAGGCTCAGGGAGGGGCTTCACACTCCTCCTGTGACCCCCCCAGACCTGCATCCCTTGTGCTAGGGCACAGGCGAGTGCTGTGAGGGGCATGGGGACAGCCTGGCTGTGCTGAGCTGGGGCCTGAGAAGAGTCCCCTCTTAGGGTATCTCCTGTCCCCTCCGCAGGTATCTCTTCACACTCCAGATCAAGAAGGACCTGGCGCTGGGGCGGCTGCCCTGCAGTGACAAGAGCGCGGCGCTGCTCGTCTCCCACCTGCTGCAGTGTAAGGGCAGGCACATGCCTGCAGCAGGGGGCGCCGGGGCTTTGCTTTGATTGCATGGCCTCTAACCCCACTCTCCCTGTGTCCCCCACAGCTGAGCTGGGTGATTTCCACGAGGAGACAGACCAGCAGCACCTGGCCACCCACAGGTACCTGCCCAACCAGGAGTACCTGGACAACAAGATCATGCACTACCACCGAAGGCACGGGTAAGGGCTGCTGTGCACGGGTTCCTTTCCATCAGCACACAGGGCCAGCAGTGGCATGGGTGCTCAGCACCCCAGCATGCACACCTCCAAAATGGGGTCTTTTCAGCCCATTTTAGCAGTTGCTTTTTCATTCTTGTCACTTCCCAGTGTGTTTGTGTCTCCAGGGGGAAGACGCCAGCCGAGTCGGATGTTCAGCTGCTGGACGTGGCCAGGAAACTGGAGATGTATGGGATTCGCCCGCACCCCGCCAGCGACGGTGAGGGGACGCAGATCAACCTGGCCGTGACACACATGGGGGTGCTGGTCCTGCGGGTAAGCTGGGGGCTCAGGGTGGGCTCTGCGAGGACATAACCTCCTGCTCTCAGCCTTCTCCCCTCGCCTGCTCTAAACCCTCCCAAATCCCATGGAGCAAGCTCACCCTAGCAAACCTCAGTCAGGGAGGTGATGCTCTGGGATATCACCCTGGGCTCAGCCCCAGCACCTCTGCCAGCACAGGCTGCACACAGCTGTGCCTGCCCAGGCTCTGGCAGAGCCCTGCTGGCCCTTGTCATTGCAGGCACAGCCGTGTAAGCACCACAGGTTACACGGCTGCGTCACATGCATTCACCGTATAATCTTCCAGCAAAAATAGCCACCTAATGTCTGTGCAATTACATAACGTTGTAATCACAGCATAGCTGAGGAATAAATACAGACTTCCTCGCAGCCGGCGTGAAACAGTGCTTGCCTCCCACACTGACTAATTTCAACCTGGGAACATCTTGCCAGAGCAGAAAAAAATCCTAACTGCGGGTCTGCTGTTCATAATTAGTGCTGCCAGACCCAGTTATTTATTCAGAGATGTAAACACCCCTCGTGTGCATGCATGATTAGAGCATCTGTGGGCCCATGCGAGTCTGGGCTCTCCCAGAGAGCTGAGAGGGTCTCAGTGCCATAGCACAAGGTAGCACAGTTTTATCTGTTCCTGCTGTGATACGTGTTGTATGGCTGCATCCAAACTGATACACAGCAGTAATGAAGGTAAGGTGTGCTTGCAGTCTGCTTAAGCTGGCAGTAAAGGTGTGGAAATGAGCTGAGCTCTGCTGTGCTTCCCATCTGACTTCTTTTGGGAGACAGATTCTGCATTAACACCTCACCTGCCCTGTGAGCTGGGAAGGATGGGACACTCCGCCTTGACCTCTGTGAGGTTTCCCTCAGACTACTGCTGTTTTACAGTTAGCTTCATTAGGCAGAGTTCAGCCCTGAGCCTTAATTCCTGCTCTTGGGATCAGCTGGTAGAGAACTGAAGGTCAAATGCTAAATCCCCATTGCCTCTTCCCCAGGCCCAGAGGCAGTGAGAGCAGTAGAAATGGCTCATGTGGTGTCCTGGGAGCCCAGGTCTCGGCCAGTCATATTTCTGCATCTTGCCCCATCCCGGTATAACTGCTGTGTCCATCCTTGCAGGGCAATACAAAGATCAACACATTCAACTGGTCCAAAATTCGCAAACTGAGTTTCAAGAGGAAGCATTTTCTCATCAAGCTCCATGCAAACATTTCTGTAAGTAGGTCTCTGTAAGCTGCTAAGGCAGCTGCCCAGCTCAGGACTGCGAGGGCAAGCGGCAGAGTCTGGCCCAGCGCACCCCTGACACCCCCGTGCTTGTCCCTGGCCACACAGGCACTGTGCAAGGACACGCTGGAGTTCACCATGGCGAGCAGGGATGCCTGCAAGGCTTTCTGGAAGACGTGTGTGGAGTACCACGCGTTTTTCCGGTTGTCTGAAGAGCCCAAGTCAAAGCCCAAAGCCCTTCTGTGCAGCAAAGGCTCGAGTTTCCGCTACAGGTAAAGTCCCAGAGCAAAAACCCTGGTGTGCAGAGGCTCTAACCCTCCCCTTTACATCTGTCCGGGCTGGGTGCAAGAGGCTGATGCCTGACAGCTGCTTCCCTGGTCCTGCTGTTGCCACCCAGTCCTGCCGCGTCCCCTCACCTCCCCCAGGTGAGGGGCTGGGCTGATGGTGCTGCTCACACCTTTCCCTCCTTGCTGCTGCAGTGGGAGGACACAGAGACAGCTGCTGGAGCACGGGAGGAAGGCGAAGATGAAGAGCCTTCCCTTTGAGAGGTACCGAGGGCAGGGAGGGGGGCGGTACTGAGGTGTGTATGGGGGGCATCCTGGCCCTGCATCCACCCCATGCACTCGGCCTTGCAGGAAGCACCATGCATCCCGCTACGATGAGAGGCAGTGCCGCTCTTCCCCGGACCTCCTGACAGATGTGTCCAAGCAGGTATGTCCCCGCAGCATGCACAAGAGTGCAAACGACCAAAGTCCTGGCTCTTCACGCTGCTGCTGGCCCTGCTCTGCTCCCCCTGCCTGCCTTGTGGCTGAGCAGGATGCCCACACACCCTTTTTTTTTTTCCACCAGGTGGAAGAGCTGCGCCTGGCCTACGGCAGCCGCGGCTCCTTCCGCACTGCCAACGGGGTGCACACCTCAGAGCCCACGCTGGACAGCCGCTGCTGCAGCTCCACCACGGAGGTGACATTCGCCGCCGAGCTGGAGCGCTCCAAGCCCGAAGCAGCCCCCGTCTTCCTGCCCCACTCCAAGAGCAGCTCTGCCTTCCCCCTGCTCTACGCCGAGCTGGAGCTGGAGCGGGCGTGGGAGCCCACCGACCTCTTCGGCTCCAGGAACCCCTTGACGTCCTTTCGGCCCCACCACAAGTTTGCTGGGAACAGTAAGAGCACCTCAGTGGGCAACATGCGGGAGGTCAGCACGAGGCCGCTGGTGTACATGGACGTGCCCTGCCCCCAGCCACTGGCCACCCTGGCCCCTCAGGTCCTTTTTTACGTAGACAGGCCACCACAGCCCCTGTGCCACATGCAAACACCCAGCCAGGAGGCGGCAGGAGCAGCCAGTGGGTCTGTCCCCACGGCCACAAAAACACCCAAGTGGAGCCCAAGCACTGCCTGGACGGGGGAATTCCAGCACGAGGCTTCGCACAGGGCTGCGGGCAGCAGTGCAGCCCCAGAAGGGGGGAGCAGGCCGCTGGCTCGCTCCTTTGATTATGGCCTTCAAGAGCAGCCTCCCAAACGGTCCTGGAGCCAGTCGGACATGAAAACCATCCGCTTCCCCTACGGCTCGGAGTTCAGGCCTCTGGGCCCACGGCCTGCCCTGAGCAGCCGCAAGGCAGGAATTCTACGGCACGCGCTGGCCCAGCAAGGGCTCGCCCCACGGCCGCGGCACCCTGCCGAGCGCTACGTGGGCAGCAGCACTGAGTCCAGCGACTCCGACTCCGACCTCCTGGCCGCTGAATACTGCTCCCTGTACGGCCGGGTGCTGCGCTCGCCCATGGCTCGGGTGCGGCTGTCCTCTGGCAGTCTCCAGCTGGAAGAGGAGGATGAAGAGGTGTCCTTTGCAACCGGTGCTGCTGAAGAGAGGACTTCCAGGGGGGCCTCCAGGTATTTCACTTAGGTGCCTCACACCGGCTGAAAGGAGCCACAGGTGGCCAGGACTGATCCAGACCCAGAGGATGGTCACTGTCCTGCTTGCAGGGCTGCTTACTGCTTGTGAAACGTGATGGGCTCATGTTGTGTGAGTGCTTTTAGCTGTAGAGGAGGTGTTAAGGGACAGCTGGGGAATGTTCTGAGGTACCCATCTCCTGCATCATAGCCTGAAACTGGTGCATCTCTGCCACCAGGCTTTTCACATGCAGGGGTCCAGCTTTAGCCAGATGGGCAGGGGCTCTCGCTTAAGCCCTGCATAGACACTGCATGCAGTCCAAGCAGGCCACAGTCAGAGCTCAGCCACTTAAGTCTTCATCAGTGAGGTGGAAGAAAAAAAAAAAAAAGACATTTTATGGAAGATCTTAAACATTAGTTTATCACAACTCCAGGGAAGCCTGCTGGTGGGAGGAATGTTTGAGGCCAAGTGGGAGAGGAGCAGGATGGCCAGGGGGAGCTGAGCAGAGATGTCTGCTCTTGGAGCTGTGCCAATGCTGCAGGAACACCCAGTGCTCAGGACAGGATGCCACGCATGGGGTGCTCCTTGTGATGCTTGGAGACATGTAGAAATTGAGCAGCTCTGTCTTGTCCCTGGCCAGGTTAGGGCATTATCCTGCCCAGGAAATACCATAGCAGCTCTCGTAAATCATTAAACAGCATCCCACTCTGAGCTGTAGTAAGTGAGTTAATGAATGATGATGTATAGCTCCACTCTTCTTAGGCCTAGTAGCTGTTATTTTCTGTCAGCAGCTCCACAGCCCAGGCACCTCAGTGTCCTGCTTAAATCGGGGGGAGTGAGGCACGCAGAGGATGGTCTTGCTCCCCCAAATCAGGCCTCCACCAAGCAGCATGGGGAAAAAGCTCTCAGGAGGAGGGCAGGAAAGAGAGGCAGCTGGTGCTTACCCTTTTGGCATTAGGAAGGCTGCTGTAACCATGGTGCTTCTAAACGTTCCTGTTTGCTACATGAATGCAATGTTATTTTTACCAGGGCCATTTCTAGTTATAGAAGAGCAGGAGAGGGAGCTTCTCACTATCCATAGGGCAGCAGGAGGGAGATTAGTTTTTTGTACATTGCTCCCTGAAGTGAAAAGGTACAGATACTTCCTAGACATGTTTTTATTACAAAGAACTTATTACCCTAAAAACACAGGAAATCTACTCTGAAAACAGGAGAATGATGTTACTTCTGTAAGATGTTAAGAGAAGTTCTTATTACTTTTCTTTAAGAACAACTCTGTAAAACTGCAGGACATGACTATAATGGGAGGAACAGCCCCATAATACATATGCTTGAGAAAACAGTGGAAACCAGTTAAAGGGACTTCAGGAACAAGGAAGCTGGGGCAGAGATGGAAAATAAGTGTGAAAAGAACTGTGCATTGCTGTCTTTTGGTTTAGAAGCTGGACAATAAAATAATAATAAAAAAACTGTTGTTCACACTAGAGTTTTCGTTTCCTCCTTTTGGATGGGGCCCAAGCTGCTGCAGCTAAGGCAATCTGCACTTCAGCCCACCTTCCCCTACAGCTCACAGCCCCCAGGCAGCCCTCATTGCTCCACAGAGCTGCCAGGCTGCTTTCCCTGTGTGTGTTCATTGTCTTAGAGGCAGCTGAGACTCACTGAATGCTGCTGAAAACAACCACATTCTTGGTCAGCTGCCCAAAGAAATGTGTTAGATCAACAAGAGAGCACACTGTTTGCTTTTGCTCCAGGTTATTCTGGGATGAAGAAGCTATGAACTACCTGGACCCCACATGCTGCTCTGGGACTGGCACACATTCTGGTAAAGGAAAAAAAAAGAAGAAAAAAAAAAAAAGGAAAAACAAACTCCGCATAAATAGAAAGTTTACTTTCTCCATGCTCTGCATCTTGGAAACAACAAAAACTGCCATTCAATGCAGCATTTAAGTATGGCAATCTACATGCATGGTGTGGTAAGGCGAAAAAAAATAGCTGTAGTGATTCAACTACAAAATTTACACATAATCCCCAGAGAACATCCCTTAAAGGGTTATTATACCTTAAGCACACAGGCAAACCTATAATCACTGTTAGGTCCTGAAATCATGTAGAGACATGGAAGGCTGGCCCAGGTCAGCTTTACCTTGAGCACAGCCCGGAACAGAAAAGCAGCCTTACTGGGAGGGATCAATGTGAAAACTACACTGCACAAACCTCCAGAAGGTCCTAGCTCCGGCATTTGAGACTGCTGGGGACACTGCAATAAGATGGAGAAACAAGGACTTGGGAACTATTTTTGGATTTTTCCATTGACTAGGGAGTACTGGGGCACAGCATGTACACTGTGACTTAGCACATCATACATAATGGTCAACAATAGCAGAGGAACAAAGCAGTCCTGAGTAAGTGACAGAAATTAAGCTAAAATCATTGCATAAGCCAGCTTTGCTGGGACTGACTAAAATGAAAAATCTCAGTAAGCAGTGGCACGCATGCAAAGGAACAACCAAAATAACCTTTGCATCAGTCCTTCCCTGTGGTACCTGTATAGTCCCTTCTCAGCCCTGTTCACCAAGAGGAAATAATATTGAGTGTGTTTCACTAGTAAAACAAATGTACAAAAAATACCGAGGACAGAGATGACATATCCCTTAAGCAAGCAAGCAGTATTAATTTGGTGGGGGCACAGAAGCATTATAGCATCAAAACACTAAGCTACTCAATGCATTTGGACTGATGTAGCTGGGGGTCATAAAATAAAATACATCACTTACAGATAAAGCTAATCTTGAGATTTATATGCAAGATATTCTTTTTTTTTTTTTTTTAACATATAGGTGTATGCATTAAGTTAAAAAAGCATCAAGATGTACACAGTATATGAAGAACATTAGTTTGGAGGAGCTCTGATTCCAGCAAATTTAACTAATTTCTATATTAAAGTGTAACCTCATTTATTGGAAAGATGTGAAATAAGGCAAGCCAACATACATACCATTAAAACTTTGTAAAGAATAAAATAATTTTATTCCAGTGTTAAGTCATAAAACAGTGTTATAAAAATGAGACCTTTAACAATTGCTAAGCCTTGTGCAAACACATCAAGAATCTATGTACTTTCCTATTCAACTATAGACATTCAGTTGAATGCAAGAACAGGTTTTTACAATACTACAATGCTTACTGTACAGAAGTGTGCTAGAGGAATTAAGAGACCAGGGGTTTTAAGAATGATTACATTGATAAAGGACTCATCTACCCATGAACAAACATATTTCTCTACTCTGTGATTCAGACTACTTTGATAAGACTACTTCAATATCAATTCTTCTCCATCTACTGTGGGAAACCTAACAAACCAAATACACAAGAAGATGATTCCTAAATGAACATCTTGATATCTCTTCCCATTATCTATCTGCCAGCAACAGAATACTGCTGATTAAGTTACACAGTTCATCAATATCTAACAAGTCATGAGGAAAAAGAAACTGTTCTCTGGAAACCAGTAATACAGACATCCATTCTTAAGAGTTACAGTCGTACAATGCACAGAGACCTTAGGTGCAAAAATGCCATGTGCAGTACAATAAAGTAGTCTTTAAACGAACTGTTCTTACAAGAGAATGAAGCTGTTTTATGCATATATGGATGACTTTTTCCCAATACTGTCCTGTGAGGTAGGCATATGACCCAACCATTTCACAGGAAGAGATACCATAGTTCAGTAACATGCTACAGTCTTACCACATAAATAGGACAGATTAATTAATTCACTAACCCTTGCTACCCAGAACAGGATATGGAGTTGCATAGATTAAAGACTGTGTCAACAGGGTATTACCACTAATTACAAAATTCAGGAGAAATTCTTATCACCTCTCCCCTTGGTCTCATAAAAAAAAAAAAAAAAACACCTTAAGGGAAGTGACATAGAAGTGAAAACATGAATTTAATTCTGAGAAATGAATATGGAGGTCTTTGCAATGAGATTTAGGATGAGACTGGTGAAGTAAAAGCTGAGGTAACTGTGGCCCTGGCCTTTTTGTACCTTCACTTTACAATGCCAAATTCACAATTAAGCCCACAGAGATATTAGGTCACACTACGTTGTCACAGGCCATGAACATTCATTTGAGCACACAGATCCTGAACACTCCTCTATGGGACTGAAACCAAAACTGAACCCTGGAGTTGCTCTCTCTCTCTAGCACTCCCTGTTGCATAGCAGCTGGTAGGTATCTTCCAGACAAGAACAGCATGGGGGGTGGGGGAGAGTGACCCAAAACCTTTTCAAAACAACTGTGTAAGGAACACCTTTGCTAAACCATAAGACAAGATAGGAGGTATATCCACGCCTCTGCACATTTATTAAAATCCAGAATAAAATGCACAACAGAAAGAGCTCATGAAAGTTTACAGAACTTAAATATTTATTTTTAAACCATTTAAAACCCCCCAAAACATTGAAATAAGCTTCATCTATAAACAGATTTACAAGACTAACAACTACAGAAGCTAGAGAAGCACTACAATTTGTTTCTGTGATGCAGTTATTTTGTAAAGCTTCAGATCAACTGTATTTACAACTTTTGCTGCTTTTACATTTATAAAAATATTTATTTAATCCATAACATTATTGTTTTCAAAAACTATTTCCAGACTTTTTCTCAGATATAAATTCTAATTGAATTTCAGTTATATAGCAGATGAAAGTTTTAAACAGAAACACTTCTTTAAAATTAAAACAAAGTTATTCTTTTTTTTTCCTTTTTTAAATTTTTTACAGTGTAGGCACCATTGAAAATAATTGTCCTTGGCATATCTAACCACCATCTCTCACAAGTGTCCTTTATATAAAAACGATGTAATGGCAACATTTGACTAAAAATGCAGTATTTACTTGCACACCATTACTTTTTTAATATTTGGCAGATATATTTCAGATTTTTTAAAATGACTTTTGTGCAAAAACAAAATGTGCAGGTCTGAACCATAAAATAAACACACCCAACCTTTATCAAAAATAAATTTACACCAACAGTTCCACAGCTAAGTACTGAAAAAAAATCCCAGTTCAAAATTTCAGCATAATATACATACTGGGTTGAAAAAGAAAGAAAAACAATAACAAAAAATAATAAAAAACCAGAAGAGATTACCCAGTTAGCAGTACCATAAATATATAACTGAAAGCAACTTTATAATCTTACCTACTTTTTATGAAAAAAATCACTCCATACTGCACAGTACTACCTTTTTGTGAAAGAATATCTATAACTCAGTTATTTGCATATTAACTGGTAAATACATATTTAAAATACACTTTCAGAAAATTATAAACAAATTATGTTGATGTACTGTATTTAATGTATTTAAGAACAAAAATGTGTATAAATATCTTACAGGAGAAACAACACCACCACAAAGAACGCTGGTGTTACACTTATACCTGCTTGTGAGGTATGTATCATGCGACGCTCGGCTTCTCTGGCTCCCTTCCACCCAGGTATGTATACTCAGAGGAAAAAAATTAAATTAAATAAAATTGGACTTCAGTTTTTGTCCATTATTGCCAAAAGCCCCACCCCCTCAACTGTATTGCTTTAATTTTCCTACCATGATGATATAAGATTGAATTACTACTTGTTCTAAAAGGTAATACATATACTGTACATCAGGATATACCTGTTGCTACATATCACCTGCAAACTATTGACATATTGCTCTCAAATATATTTAATCATAGAGCTGCCTAAAATACTGTACCAATTTAGAATTATAATAGATACTGTTGCAGGTTTATTCTTCAGGGCACAATAACTATATGCTGGTTGAAGCAGGTGCTACAGCAATACCCTTGCCACTACAATACATGTTTTGAATACGCTTGTGAAAAAGCTATTTTCTCTGAAGCTTGTTAGTGATTTACAAAAGTTTAACTCATGAATACAAAAGACCTGTACATCCCTGTGTACAGGAACAAAATAGCATCAAAACATACTGTACTTGCACTTTCTATCAACTAAAGTAATGGTTATTTCTAAAAGCAAAACTGCACCTCAACATTTATCAGATTAAACTGGTGAAACTACAATATTAAAAGTTGTTCTTTACAAAATAATTTCCTGAAAATATAAAACCATGTGCACTGCCACAAAATAGTTGAGTAGGTTCTTTCAAATCCTCAAATCACCATCAATATGTTGCAAAGATCCAAAAGGCACAAGGAGCTCATGAGCTAAGCACTGCCAAGCTTGAAGTAGTTTTGGTGGGTTTCACTGGGTCCATATGAAACAGCAGTCACTTATGTGAAGTTTCTTAGGATGAGTCATTAACAGAAAATCTACAGATAAAAAAACAAGTTTTTTGTTAATTACTGTGTCTCATCCTGGCAGGCAGCAAGTAACTATCTATGCATCATTAAACTAGTAAGGATTCTCCTGCTCCCTTCCTTGCTATAAATATGGTTAAGATAA